ACACACACACACACACACACACACACACACATCCTATATAGCTGCAGCATCCTGCAAGAGTGGGCTGGGAATTCAATATGTGCAACCTTTATTTATTATTTATTTTGGTTTATTTATTTATTTATACATTTTTTACTGTTCTTTTAAAATAGCCTAACAAATGTGTGAGAGAAAAAAGTTAAAAAAAATACACTGCAAATGCTCTTGAATTTTAGCAACAGGTTGCGCTTTACTATCAGTCACATATGCAGTAAATATATAATAAAATCCTGAAAAAAGTTTCACAGGTTCCAAAAAAATGTTAAACAGCACAACTGTTTCCAGCATTGATAATAAATCAGCATATCATAATGATTTCTGAAGGATCATGTGACACTGAAGACTGGAGTAATGATGCTGAAAATTCAGATTTGACTCACAGGAATAAATTACATTTTAACAGCTATTCACATAGAAAACAGTTATTTTTAAATTGTAATATTTCACAATTTTACTGTATTTTTTATCAAATAAATGCAGCCTTGATGAGCATGAGATGTCTTAAAAAACATTCAAAATCTTACTGTTCCCAAACTTTTGAATGGTTATGTGTAAATAAGCATATAACAATTGATATCTCCGTTTTTTCTTCTAGATAGAAATGAGATAAAATAGAGAAATGAAAAACAGAAGTCTCCTTTCTAGCATACCTTTCTGAATACAGCTTTATCTATATCTGATATAGCTGTATTCATAAAGAAATGCTATTAAGTTTTATTAATAATTAATATTGAAATAATTCCCTGCGATATGTCTGCGTCTAAATTAAAAAAATCTTTATTATATGATAAACTGAAACGGTTAGACAGTCATGAATATTTACAGCACTCAACGGCAAAGATGTCGTTCATTTCCATGCATAAAATTAAATATGAGCAAAAGGGTTTTGAGAACTGTCTGGGTCTTATTTTGCATCAACCATCAGTAATAATATTTTGCATAATGCTTCGTGACATTATTTTCATGTCAGTTAAGCACATTAATCACCCAATTGTCAGTAGCTGATTTAATTAGCATGCTGGTTTTAATTAAAAACAAAAACATGTGTCCGAACAGGATGTTTTTGTGACTGTATTACAATAATAAAGCGAGAATGTATGCATTGCAGAGACTGAAATCTGAAGCGTTGAGCTGAATATGACCTAGCGTGATTCACTGCAGTGTTTCTATGGGAAGGAAAGCACACAGCCCTGGGAAGTAATCACACGTACAGCATCAGAGTTCAGCGGACGTGGCCCTTCTTCACCCGCAGTATCCGACCTCCTGCTAATATTTGCAGAGCGACACGAGGTGGGTGTATGTGGATTAAACAGGGCTTGTGTAGGGCAGGCCGGTTTGTTTTCCTCTGCTAGCATCTCCACACACGAGTCTAGATTGGCACGATCATCAAATATAGATCAGACAATAAGCTGATGTGGAAGCTCTCCATATGATACCCACTGGAGACGCTCTGGTCCAGAGACTTATCTCGGGGTTGGCGTGAGATTAACCCGCTAGCTGATCTTTGATCGGATGTCATCTCTTCAAAAATCTACAACCCAGAAGGTTTGAGATGAAGAGCTGTTCATGGAAGAGCCAAAGGGAGCTGTTTAGAAGCAGGAAAAGCCAAATGCACTGTAAATAGCCGATGAAAACTGCATACGCTAAGATATGAGAGAACATGAAGCTCTGAAGTCAAATTAATTTTAATGTGCCCGGCCTTATGGAAGACTGCATTTTGAGAGCCGCTGCCTCCTCGTCCCTCGCCGCCAGTAAGATTTATGCATAAATGCATTTGAATACATTTCCATGTCAAATGTCAAATATATCTTAATATATTGGAAAACATTTTAAATTCATATTATTTAGTTATCCAACTTCTGCAAATATTGAAGAACCTTTTGAAGCACCTTTATTTTTAAGAGTGTACTGAACTGCAGTGGAAACGCAAACCGTGCCGTGCTGAGCAGTGCCGAGCCGAGTCGTACCACGCAGTGGAAAAGCGCCATTAGTTTATCTTGTGTAATTTTTGCTTATTAGTATGGTTGAATTGGATCACCGAAGGTCAGCAGTAAATTGGTTAATAAAATGGGATTAAATACATAAAGGATATTTGTATTATTTAACATATTTAATTATTGCAGCTTTGAGTCATATTCTGAGCTGCTTTTAACTGTTTTTATAAATTTTGAGGAAAACTAAACCTGATTTTTTTTTTTGTGAGTGAGATGAATTAATGCATGTTCACATTTATTCTAGAACTAAAGTAACATCTTACTCCCGATTTCTCTCAACATGGGGACAGGAGAGCTTTCAATCAATAAATGGGGGGGAAAAGTAACTGGCGTTACTTATTTGAAACAGTAACTCAGATATTTTCTTGTAAATTAAAAAGTAATGCGTTACTTTATTAGTTACTTGAAAAAAGTAATTTGATTACGTAACTCGCGTTACTTGTAATGTGTTACCCCCAACACTGGGTATATATACAGTATATATATAACAAAAAAAATGTAATATTGTGCTCTAAAATTGAAAAAGTGAAAATAATATTTTGCATAATGCAAAAAAATCTGAATAATCTTTAAAAAGGCTTAATTTCCTTTGTGACATCATTTTAATGAGTGCATTTGAGCACATTAATCACCCAACTGTTAATAGCTGATTTAATTTGTATGTTGTTTTTAATAATAATAAAAAAAAAACAATCACTGCAATGCACATTTTGGAGAGAAACTGAAAAAAAAATGTTAAAATATATAAATATATTTATATGCAATATAATATAATATAAATTATTATATATAAATATACTGTATACTACATGTAAAATTAGTATACACATTTTTATTATTTTACTGGAAATATATATATATATATATATACTGTATATATATAATTTTTTAATTTTTTTTTTATTATTATTCTCTTACCAAAATGTTTCAAACTAAATGTTTTCTTATTGTAATTGCTTTAATTTAATGCTTTAATTATGTTTGTAAAATCCTTTTAACAAACAAAAGCCAGTCTCCAGGAAGTGACATCATCATCAGCAGCAAGCATTAATGGATTTTATGGATTAATTAGTTTGTGTCTCTCTAAAACATACCATCCTGTTGGCTAAAATTACAGAAATGTGTATAATAATATAAAAACTTCATTAATAACATCTGAAAATCTACTTAATCTAACTGTCAGTCCTTCACTGAGCAATGACTCTCCTCAGCTCTTGCCATTGTGTGAGTAATTACTGAAGTCATAATTAGTAAAGCTGAAGTGTCTGAGCTTAACCGGAGAGATTTCTTTTAAAAATACGTCTTTAAATTACACCACACGCATATTCATAAAGCTAAAGAGTTCATAAGGCGCTGTGTAACAGGAATGACCCACTTAATGATGTTAACAAAGTGTGTTTGACGCTGGCAGCCG